ACACAAAACACCGCTCGCGGCCACACGACCAGCAGAACTCTTTCTGAACTCTGCCGCGCTTGGCAGAAGGATCTTGCCATCGCTCGGAAGTGTGCATGTAGTCTCGGAAGGAGCATGTTGGGTGATCTTGCGAAAAACTATACGCACGAAACCAGAACATGTATAGGGAATAGACGTTCGAGCGAGTCTTCGTGCCCCCCTCATACGACATCGACGAGCCCATGTGGTAAACATAGCACCCCTAAAGGATCTCAACACGCTCGGCGACGGCCCCAGGACGCTAACCAATAGCAGACCGCCTTAGTTTGGGCCTCGAAGTGGGCAGCGCATGTCGCAACCAACAGCAGCCAGTTTTCAGCTGGGCCTCCGAGTGCGAAACCGAAGCCCAAACAAATTGCCCAAAGCTGGTCGTTTTGCCTTGGCTGACAAGCGCGCACCATGTAGCGCAACCAACAGCATGCAGTTTTGTGTTGTGCCGCCGAGTGCGAAACCTATGGCGCAACCACTGTCCGGCCGTTGATATTCGGCTGGCGAATGCGCAACGCATGTCGCATCCAATGGCAGATTGGTTTAGTTTTGACCGCCGGGTGCGCAACCTATGGCGCAGCCCAAAGCAGGCCAGTTTATCTTTGGCAGCAGTGTTCGCAACCTAGGGCGAAACCCACGGCGCACTGGCTGGATGGTGCATCCCACGGCACAACCTAGTACGGCGCAGCCAGTGCCGAAGCACATGGCGCGCCCTGTCGCTCAAGCAATGGATGGCACAACTAATGTCGCAACCAATGGCGCAACCCATGGATGGTGCAACCCACGCAAGTCTTGGAGGTGCACCCCACGCCAACGACGCATGGTGCAACCCATGTATCACGCAATGCATGGCGTAACCAACGGCGCAACTCATGGATTACACGAGGTATTGAACGAATTGTCGGTGGTGCAACCCCTGGCGCTCGCCATGGATGTCACAACCCCTGGCGGTTCATATGGGGCTACGTGCGAATTATGTTCGCCGTTTGGACTGGCGAGCGGGGCCCAAACGGCGAGCTGTCTTGTGATGTGTTCGCGATCGGCTTTTCTCTCTTCAACCGTCGGGGAGTGCCCTCATGAAGAACGTCCGATGGCCTCTAGAAAGCTCCGAGCTGGATGGCCAAAGATACCAATGACGATCCCAATATACCTCGAGGGGCATCAAGAGGCTACCAAGAGCGTCCTGAGAGGCCCCAGAAGGCCAAAAGGGACTCAATATGGCCGAAGAGGCCCCCCCAAGCTGCCCTAATGACTATTTCAAGACGGCCCAAGAGCCCACGACATCCCAAGGTGGCCCCATGATGCCACCCAAGAAGAGGGAGAGGAACTGGAAGAGGAGAAGGAGGATGAGTTTGGTCGGGAGGATGATAGTGAGAAGCCCTTGGGGTCGGGAGCGGGAGGAAGTCTCGGGAGAAGGGAGTGTTTCAAGTTCTTTGGATTGCGGCCCCGGATAGCCGTGGCCTCGGTCGTCAAATGAGTGCAGCAACCAATTGCGCAGGCAATGCGAGGAAAAGTCGAGAGTCTTTTTATACAGTATTGGCAAGGAGGACTGATGGAGGGAGGGAGGCCGCGAGGGAAGGAGGGAGTCATTGGAGTGAGGGGGGAGTGAGGGGGGAGGTGGAGGTAGCGGTGCCTGCTAAGCAAGCGTATACGCTTGTTGGCTGAGGTCCACCATGCGCGCAGCATCCAAAGGCCACGAGCTAGCGCATACGTGAAGCTCAGCGCGCCCAGCCACTGACATCTGGCCACATGTGGTCACGCGGTTGTGGTCCGATCACCGTTCGAGACCGTTCTGAGCCATTATGCTGCCTTCGGCTCCGCCTCCGAGCAGGTCGGGCACCCTCCCAGAATCAGGTAGGGAGAGGAGGAGGAGAAGGAGGATAATGGAGGAGGAGGAGGAGGAGGAGGAGGAGGAGGAGAAGGAGGGAGGAGGCGGAGGATGAGAAGGGAGGAGGCGGAGGAGAGGAGGAGGAGGAGGAGGAGGAGGATACCGACAGTGACTAGAAGGGAAGGGAGGAAGAGCAAGAAGCTGCCTCCCAGGAGGCTCCGACGGGTGCTGCTGCGTCTCCGAAGGCTCCCCGGCCAGTGCCCGAACGCATAGGGGCTCTTGCCTGTCTCCTCCTCCTCCTCGTCCTCCTCCTCCTCCTCCTCCTCCTCTGCCTCCTCCTCCTCCTCCTCCTCCTCCTCCTCCTCCCTCCTCCTCCTCCTCCTCTGCCTCCTCCTCCTCCTCCTCCTCCTCCTCCTCCTCCTCATCCTCCTCCTCCTCCTCCTCCGGCTTCGGCGGGCGGCTGCGGGGCTCTCTCTCCTATGGCCGCGCCGCCGCGGGAGGGCGCCTCGTGGGCGCCTCGTGCGCTGCCGCTGGGCGCTCGCCCGGCCGCAGCCGCTGGGCGCGGTGCCGCCTCGGCGCTCCGCCGCTGGCACCGCACGGGCGCCCCGCGGGCACGCCCCGCGGGCGCCTCGCGCGCGCAGCGGCGGCATGCAAATCAGGGCTAGCAGAGCGTTCCGGAGCGCTCTCAGAGCGTTCCGGAACGCTCTGGAGCGGCCGCGGCGCCCAATACATCCTCCAAACCCGCCGATTCTCAGAGATTTCGAGTTACCCCGATCCGATTTTGTCCCGATCTTCGCGTCGTTTTACCTGGGGTCCTGGCCATCCCCGAAAGAAGCTGGAGCCAGCGCAGGAGGCCCACCGCGCGGCGGCCCCCAGCGGGGACCGGGCGAGGCCCTCCACATGCTAAAACGACGCGAAGATCGAGACAAAATCGGATCGGGATAACTCGAACTCTCTGAGAATCGGCGGGTTTGGAGGATGTATTGGGCGCCGCGGCCGCTCCAGAGCGTTCCGGAACGCTCGCTCTGAGAGCGCTCCGGAACGCTCTGGAGCGATTTATCCCGATCCTAGCCTTGTTTTAGATGGCCAGGACCCCATGTAAGGGGACCTGGTTAGTGGTAGGGCCCCGGAGCCTCTGAATTGGCCAGAGTCACTAAACCAGGTTTGCCAGATATAGCTGGTGTTTTTTTCGGGTGGCGGCAGTTCCGGTTAAGTGGAAATGGGACGGGGGGGCGCCCCCGGTACAGATCACTAAACCAGGTTCCACTAAACCCAGTTCTGCCAACGCCCGAGTCTTGCGTGCACGTACAGCCTGCACTCCAGGTGTTGGCAGCACCTCCTGCCCTGACGCGTCGATGCGGGGATCGGCCGCTTTCGGTCTGCGAGAGGGCGTCGCGGCCGTCGTCTCTGCGGGCCCAGGTGCGTCGGTTTCGGTCCCGGGCCGTTTTCACCAAGGGTAGGTTTACTGAAGGGAGGTTTGTGCACCGCCGAACATTGCTTGTACAGTCGGGGCGCTGAAGAAGGAACCCTTTTCATTGGGGAGGGGCTCCGCGTTCCTTAATTGTGTCGCAGCTTGCCTTAGGTTTCCTTAGGTTTTCGATATGAAATCGAAGTTTAACTTATGGAAAATACGGGCCTCGTTCCTTATTTAGGGTTCCTTAGGTCAACGCCCCGACTGTACCACAGATGATGCAGCACATAGCTTGCACCACATCGCATGCACCGCACACACTGCGCCACGTCACTAGCGCATCCAGAGCGGAAGAGCTCACTGCCTGGGGGCACGTCCCGTGCCGTCTCCAGGCCGTGCCGCCGGGCCCCCCTCCATAGCGTGGTCGCCTCGGGCACCCCATGCTACTCGGATCCTTCGTGACGACCGCGACGGCCAGATTTCTCCCCAGCAGTTGAATCTTCTTTGGGGTTGCCGACCAGTGTCGCTCGTGCGCGCAGAAGGACTGGCCGCTTGGGCCTCCACGGTGTGCCTGTTTCGGGCCCCCTGTGGCGCGGTCAGAGGAGCGACCTGCGGATGGAGACAGCAGGCTCCCAGGACGCGGGGCGAGAGGTCCCACGGGCCCGCGCCACGACAAAGTCGCGACATCGGGATTAATTGGCGAGGGTCAAACTCAACCCCAGGATTTGTCCAGGGGCGCATGTTGGAGCAGGTTTTCGATGCGGATCCAGCTGTGGCGAGGAAGAGGCTCCCAGGTGTCCTGAAAGGTCGAAATACACGTACACACAAACGATCAAATACACCACGCACACACACTTTTTCTCCGACGTGCCAGTGAATCCAACCAGCGGCTCAGTGTGCGAAGACGCCAGAGACTACCTTCGCTTCCTTGTGAAACACGTTGCGTGACAGAACTCCCCGAAGCGCGCATTGACGAACCGAGGTAGACACACCGGGCGGAGGGCGGCGAGCGAGACACGCACGCACACACACACACACCTACACATACGTACACACACACACACACACACGCACTCACACGCAGACGCACACACGCATACACACACATCTACACACGTACACACACGCACACGCATACGCACACACACACACGTGATCACATACACACGCACGCACGCACGCACGCACGCACGCACGCACGCACGCACGCACGCACGCA